GACAAGGCACAGAGACTTCCCCAAGACAACAGTAAACTGCTGTCAGAACACAGGTTCAGCTCCTGACCCTGTGCTGTGGTCTCCTCACCTGAATACCCATAATACATACTGTTCTTCCTGTTAATGCTACAGTTCACAGTCATTGCCTCTTCAGAGCACATGCTGAAGCAAACAGCGAGACAGAAATAAATAGAAGGGTGATTTCAAAGGAAGTTAGTTTATCCCCAAAAGAGAAGGTGAAGGAGAATCATTTGATCATATAAAGGCTAAATATCCACACTTTCTAGAATTTTTAGTTGGTCCAATAGTGGGGGTTGAGTGTTCAGACTTAATATGGTAGAGTCTGTTAGCAAATATCTTACCCCTCACATGACTATGACTATGGTGGATGAGAGAATGAGAATATGGTGGTGCTGGTGGGTTAAGTCCATGGCTAGTGAGTACCTGGCTCCTCTAAAGGAACCAGAGGAAGGAGGGAGAGCTAGCTGCAAAGCAAAGGATGAAGATGTTCTCTGAGACAAGTGAGTTTTCAGATACTCCAGGGCAGGATGGCAAATCTGAATGAACGCAAGCAGAGTAAAGGGCTGCTAGAACACAGATGGGAGGTCAAGCAGGAGGCAGGCAGATGGGAGGGGAGGTGCTGCCTGGTGAATTCAGAAGACATCTGCCACATGCTGCTGAGCTTGGGCTCTGGAATCTCTTTCATGAGCAGACCCCGGGGCCCCAGCTGGGAGCAGGCCACATTGGGGCAGACACAGGCAGCTGACTCCTCCCGCACCGCAATCTCTCTGCTGTGCAGTGATCACTCTCCTTTCAGTTTCAGGGCCTCAGGCTGTGGGTCAGCAAACCTGGGTTCTAGACTCCAGCTCACCCCTGGCAATCCATACGACTTCTAAAAGCTCACATGCTGCTAGCTTTTCTGCAGAAAAATGAGAAGAAATATTCATTAATTATACCAACTCAGAGAATGATATTGGGGTAATATGGAACTATAAAAGTCCTTAAAATTCAACTGGGATCACATCAGATACATTCCCATAATCCTCTAGGATAATAACAACAACACTATTCTCACACTAACACTGCAGTTTCCATGTGACTGGTATCTCATATTGGCGAGCTACTTAGAATAGCCCTCAAAACTCCCTCTGGGGTGGGTACTATTATTGTCCGAATTTGCAGAGGAAATGAAAACACAGAAATGTGAAATATCTTCTCTGAAGTCATGCAGCAAGTGGTGGGCTGCACCCAGGGAGTCCGGCCTCAGAACTTGGTCTAAACCAAGATGTGTAATTTCCTTTTGCAAAAGGATAAAACAAGGCAATCACCCTTGTTCCCAGAGTCTAGTCACATGGTACACTAGAGCAAACATATTTAACTGTGAGTAAAACCAAAATGGAAAAATCTAGATATACAAGGCAGATAAATTAGGCAGGGTAAATAACCACTCTACAGATGCCAAGACCAAAAAAACTAAAAAAAAAAACTAAAAAAAAAAAAACAACTCCACAAAAGAACTTGATTTTAAAACAAGTTATTAACAAATTGTCTAATGCATTGCAAGATTCCAGTTAAAACTGGAATAAAAGAGGTAATACCCTTTTAGTTACTTGGTTATAGAGTTCTATTTATAATAGAAATGACACAAAATGTTAAGGAGACAGGAGGCCATGGCCTGCGCCATAGGACTGAGCTGTGCCTCTTTACACCCATATCGGTGTGGCTTTCTCCCCACGTGTGCTCTATATTTGGTATGTGACTTGCTTTCACGATACAAGTGAGTTTCAAAATACTTGTACGTTGGGGCTGAGATCCTAGAGCACTCCTCGGTCAGGACATGGCTTATGTAACTTGATAACCCCTAGACATGTGGGAGAGGCCACCTTGGCTCATACAGCTGCAGCCAAGTCTCAGGTAACTGTGGTTCCATGAGTAACCCAAGGGAAGGCCAGCAGAAGAGGGTTGGGGAATTCAGCTCAGTGATGCAGCACCTGCCTGGCAAGCTTGAGGCCTTGAGTTTGATTCCTGGAACCCAACGGAAAAAAAAAAAGATCATCAGATGAGCCATCCACCTGAGCTCTGGCCAACTGGTGTACTCACAGGGCCATAAACAAACAAAATGTTTACTGTTTTCAGCCTCTGTGTATTGGGATGGACTACTAGACAGAGAGAGCTAGCTAAGAGAGCCCACATCCAAGCCACTCCACAGGGTAGCAAGAGGTCCGTGGAACTTGCTAATTATTGTAGAGTCCAGAGCATTCTCATAGTAAAGCAGGAGAAACACAGGGCTGAGAAGCTGGAGGCAGAAGCATTAGGCTGATAGGATCACAAGTAACATTGCCTGCTCCTACCTACCGATCACTCAGTAACTTCTAGATCAAGCAGACTGGGAAGCTGATCTTCACGATCAGATTAGTGCAATGGAGACGCAGAAAAGAAAGAAGTCACATTGTACCAGACAGAACCAGTCCTCGGCTTCTGCGTCTACCAATAATGAAGTTCGCTTTAATGACACTGGGCTATAGATGATCAGGCTTACAGCTACACAGTGCCTTCTGCCTCACCCGTTCCAGGCCATTCCCAGATAATGCTGCCTCCCCAGCATTATCCTTGTTACAGATCAAAGAAAGTTGAGATGTGGGGCAGAGAATGGACTAGAGCAAAGGCGGAGACAATTTCCCAGAGCTCTGCAGCCCAGAGGCCTACTCAGCTCTGCTGTGAGTGAGATGAGGAGGACACAAACCATCATCCAACCCAACCTGTTGCCTCAAAACAAAGGAGCACAGGCTCTCAGAAGATGACTTCTCCTATGTCACACAGGGAAACCTGAGTAAGCTGGTGCAGGAACCCAGTCCAGAACTCTAATATTGTACAATGATCTGGGACGCAGGGCATGAGCACTGGATCCCAAGTGAGAAATCATATCATCTAAATCCTAGTCTAACAATCCTCTGTCCTTGACTAATTTGAGAATATTGCCCAACTTATCACCTACGACAGCCAAGAAAACCACAGGACACTCTGACTACATGTTTTAAAGTGGTGTCTAGGAAACTTGGTTAGTCAAAGACAGAAGAGGGAAAACTCCACAAACATCCCATGGTGACACAGGCTATGAATTTATTTATAATCCCTCCTTTTCTATTTTTATTCAAGTGTCCATTTTTAATGGCCATTGGAGGCGTAATTACAAGGTCTGAATGCCCCAAGATTTATCCGTTGAAACCCTAGACTTTTTAGAAGTTATTATATCATGGGGTGGGGCCCACATGATGGGATCAGAGCCACAGGAAACACTAGAGAATGCCTTCTCTCTACCACATGAACATACAACATGAGAAAGCCATTACCAAGAATCCAACTATGCTGGCCCTATGATCGCAGACCTCAGCCCTCCAGACTAGGAATATTCATCTCCCATTCCATGACAATCTGTCACAGCAGCAAGAGTCAGCCACTACACTACAGAATGCAAACAATATTAATGTAGGACTTGAAGCACAAACAATGACTAATGAAAGCTGTTGAAAAATCATTCTTAAATGTAGACATAAACATATATGTTCAATTTAACATGCATATCTGTGTTGTTTATAATCTAGGAGAAAATGCCCTGGGCCCCTTGCCATTTCTAATCTATGGCTAGTGAAAATGTGGTTCAACAACCCCACACCTCAAGTGTTCCACCAACAGAAGTGAGCACCTGGACCTCAAGCCTGAGCCACACAGGGGCACGGAGAGCCCTTCGGCTGCACCCACGGAAGAGACACAGTCTGGGGCCTGGCGTCCTATTCGCTGTCTGATGAGAGCGACACCTCTCCTCCTTCCATGGCTATATAAGTAGAGAAACCACTCCCTCCGCCTAGGGCATGGTAAGATTTTGGTACAATACCTAAACCACCCAGCACCTTGGTGCCTAAGGAGTGTCCTCTAAGGAAAGCTAACGAGGATGAGTCATTTGTTCATCCTGCAAGGTTTTGTGGACCTGTGACCTGTGGCCAGGCAGTGTGTGTGTGTGTGTGTGTGTGTGTGTGTGTGTGAGAGAGAGAGAGAGAGAGAGAGACAGAGACAGAGACAGAGACAGACAGACAGAGAGACAGAGAGAGACAGAGACAGAGACAGAGACAGAGAGAGAGAGAGAGAGAGAGACTGAGACAGAGACAGAGACAGAGACAGAGACAGAGACAGAGACAGAGACAGACTGGGAGCAGCCCCTGCCTCACAAGTTGGCATTCTAGAATCTCCTGTTCTGTACTCAGACATGTTATCCATTGCACCACTGGCCCACCTTTTGCAAGTTGGCAATCTAGAGCGTGACAATGCAAAACTGTGCCGGAGTCCTGTGCTGAGTCCACTACTACAACAGAATCCAGAGTGTCGCCTGCTAGACAGGCTGTCATCTACTTCGCAGAAGCTGTATCCCAGGCCGCTCTGTTAGCCCGTCATCGACAGCCTCGGCGCACCTCATCCACTCAAGCTGTCTCACGCCTCATCCTCCCGGCCCTCTCTAGAACTGCTGTTCCCTAGCAAGCACCAGCGCCTTCCAGAAACCTCCAAGAAGGCCCAGCTGGCTTAGCGGCCTGCACTACCCCTTTCTTCCCACCAGAGGTCGCCCTCCCACACAAGCCCAAGGAACCAGGCCAGGCTTCGCCTTTCTGGTAGCAGTGACATTATTTTCTTTCTCTATTTTTATCTATTAAAAAGATTTCTTTCAGCCATAACTTAGATCTCTACACTAAAATGGAGCAACAGGAAGATATAATGGTGCATTTCATTTATGAATGACCTATAATAAATTACTCTGAAGTGTCCCGTGTGTCAGAAGACGGAACGCTTTGTCTGCCTGCTGACTGTATTTCACATACTTTAATTTAGCTGACACATAAAACTCATTTGACGTTTTTCAGGTATTTGTGTGGGGTGCGGTGGGGGTGGCGTGAGGGGACACCGCAGGGCCGGGGCACAGCAGGGCAGGGGGCGGCGAGCAGAGGACAGGATATTCGGTTCTTGTTGAGTGTTAAGGTGTGGAGCCGGGGTAACCCTGGCAACACGAGATCGTCCCCGAGCAAATTGTTGTCCAGGATGAGTTCTTCCAGGCTCCTGAATGCGCGCAGTCCTTCCAGTGACCTGCAATGACAAAGGCAACAGGAAAAATGATCCCGCACTAAATCAGGGAGGCCATTATGAGCCGAAATAAATATTTTAACCTTCCCTTTCAGGACTGGGAATAGTTTGGGCTTGGTGCCTGTCAGCAAAGTGAATGACAAGAATTAGGAGCGGGAGCGGGGGGTGGGGGCGGCGGGGGAGAAGGGGCCTCTGGCACTCACGGCATCCTTCACGCATTGCCAACATGAAGGATGAGGGTCACTTAGTGAGTAGCCAGGATCCAAAACAAAGGGCTTCAGATACGGCCTGCAGGATAAATTTGTCAATGTCTTGTGCCTTCAAGCACCCAGCCTCGGCTGACCCTAACCTCCATTCCCAAGATAAATAACTCTGTCACACTTCACCTTCATTCCCTGGACACAAATTTAAGCTGTCATCCATCATTCCTGCCTAGAAATATCATACCCCTCTTACAATAATAAATATAACTTCAAGTATCATTTCTTAGCCGTTCTCCTCAGTACGGTCGTGGAGGAAACAGCCAGGAAAGCTGTGTTTTTTTGTTTTGTTTTGTTTTTTCTCCTTTCACATCCTTGGACTTTTTTCCTTCACCCACTCTGCCTTTTTTTCCTTCTTCTTCTTCTTCTTCTTTAATAATCACTTAATTTCCCTCTGCCCTGTGTCTCTCTGTCTCTGTGGCTGCCCAGCAGGCAAAGCATCTGCAGGATTACATAATCACTCCAGCCGGAGGGGGCTCGGTTCTTTTCCTTTCATTATTTCTGGTTTTTTTGTTTGTTTGTTTTCAGTTTTGTTTGGGGGAAGAGAGCTGGTAGAATTTCTGCTTCCACGCTTCTGGCCTGAAGTTACTGTTTTAATTTATAGAATGTAGATTTCTCACTTTATGCTTGGGAAAAAAAAAACAGACCATAGAGTGTAGCAATGTTGATGTTCAGACAGTAAATAAAAAAGGCATTGGAGAGGATTAAGTGCCTGGCTTAGGGGAAAAAAATATATCAGAAAGGAGGGAAAACAGTATTGTTTATCCACAGGGCTGGAAGTTAACTCTCGGGCTCCCAGGAGGGGGGAACGCGGGGCCGTGGCGCACAATGGCCCGCCTGGGCACACAGACATTAATTAAAGCAAGCCGCCTGGCCCAGCCGCGCAGGGGTGCACTAGCTCCCCGCTCATTCACCTGCCAGCCCCGCGCGAGGTGCTGAGCTTGCACAGGCTGACAGCTGAGCTCCGACCTTACTGGAGGGAGGGCTCGCGCGGATCCTCGCAGTCTACAAAATGCGACGAACCGGGAAGTCGTCTCCCACACATTTATTCATTTGCTGAGAGCACCTCCGTCGCGGTCGTGTGTGCCTGCGTGGGCCGCGCGCGCGTGGACAGTGGGGTTGTGTGCGTCAGCACCGGAGCGCCTGAGGCACCCAGAGCTGCCCGTGGGACCCTTCCAGGAGGCCTCCGAAAGAGGGAGTCCATCCCTGCGAGGGATAAACCGCACCAGAGCAAGTACGTCTGCAGACTCGCTGGGCCCACAGCCCTCCTGCCTGCCGTTTCTGCAGGCCTGGGGTGGCCCCACCCAGGCCTACTCCCCAGCTTTCCTGCTCCCCAGCCATGGCTGCCAGGCCCGAGTGGCAGGGCCTAGCTGTCCCCATTCCGATGAAGGCTGGTGATGTTTCACTTGCTCCTCCTCTCCTCCTTTCGCTTCTTCCTCGAGGTTCTGGGAGGCAAAGCTCAACTTGCACAGGTCTAGGCAGGGCAGCGTGGGCCTTGCCCTCTGCCCTGCCATCTTGTAGTGTGAACTGGGACACCTGCTGCCGCTCCGCACTCTTTCCAGCTGGCAGGGTCTGACACCCAGAAGACTAACCAGTTGTGAGTGAGGGCTGGATTTTCCTTACATTCCTCCTCGCCTTGATCAACCCAGCACCTGGCCCTGCCCCTGCCCTTGGGGACATGTGCAGGACACAGGCTCGGTCACATTCTCAAGTCCCTTCCTCAGTGGGGGTCAATGAGAGATGCTCACTAACAAAAAAATAACCATTTCTGAGACCCGGCCCCTGTTTGCTGCACAGGGAGAAGCAGAGTGCTGGGCAGGTACGAAGTCCTCTCTGTACCATGAGCCGGGCTCTGGTCACAGGCCGCATCCAAGAGCACATTGTTCCCAAGCAATACTATGCAACATTATACTTTTGTCATGAGATGCAGTGAACAGTTGGCAACTGGCAAGCAGAAGAAAGCTCCCTTCCAAGAATGTTTCAGGGGAGGCAACACACACACACACACACACACACACACACACACACACGGTATGAAGAAGCACAAAATGAAGCCCAGTAGTGCATACTCCACTGAGCCAACTAACCCCTTTTGCAGCCCAGGTTTTGGGGCAGAGCGACACAACAGAATCAGGCCTCAGAGAAGAGAAAGAGAAAGCCACCTCACATGTGGGCACCTCTGGTTTTGCCACATAATGTTATTAACCAGTAAAAAGGGGGCTGCTAATTAGCAAACCTCAGCTTTCACACTGTCCATGCAGTGTGACCTTTGCTTATTTCACCAGCTTGGTGCAGAGCTAAGGACAGGATGGGGCACAGGAAGTGGGGAGCAGAGCCCACAGCAAAGGGGACAGGAGTGGAAAGGAGCCACAGGGTTGGAGTGGCATGGAAGGCCCCATAAACATACATCTGGAAAACAGCTTTACTTTTTAACTTAAAATTATTTTTGTTTTCCAGGAAAAAATAGGAGAAAAAAATTATTGGCAGCAGTCTAGGAGTTCAACCACCGATGTACCAGATGCCTGCGATAGGTAGGCCCTGTTAAATGTAGTGACAAGGCAGAACAGGCTTTCAAGATTCACATAGGTCTCTAGTGTTTAACCAGACGGTGGTGGTTGCCAGTGGGGGAGACAGGACGGCATTGCAATTTCTCTCCTATAACCTTGTACGTGGAAGGCAAAATGCACCCTGACATCAGAGCCCTTGTGGAGAGGGTGACTGTCACCAAAGGTTTGCTCACCAGCTTCCCTGGCAGGGTCTGTGGTGGTGGGGTGGGGACTGGAGAGCTGGAGGGGGGCAGGCAAAGTTGCAACCACCACTGGGCAAAGCTAGCTGGAAGGACCACCAAGGGCAAGCAGGGACCAGTGGGGATGCTCAGTGGCAGTGACTGGCCTGCTTGGAAACCACATGAGTATCACAGGGCTCCTCGCAGGTGCCTGCCTCCCACTCCGCCAGCCAGAGCTGCTACGATCTCACCCACAGGTACCATCTCAGTCACCTCCTTCGCAGGGCTCCCCCAGGAGCCGCAGCGGCTGCTGGGAGAGTCTCGGTGCCTTTCCAAAGTCACATCAGGATGACAAACCATCACAACGCATTCGGCTCCAGTGGATTCAAACAGAGAGAACTTTTAAGTTTCCACTGTAATTAACCCTATCCTCGTTAAGATAATTATGATCAAGCTTCCTGTCACAGTTAATATCCCAGCATCATCGCCCATGGCTCACACTCTGCCCTCATTAGCTTATAAAAACAGCCACGCGAAACAGGCGGCCACAGGCCTGTGTGGTGAGGCCAGTGGTGGGGAGTCCTCGAGGAGGGGACTTGGGCAGGGTCATGGGCACCGCGGGAACTCTAGTGCTCCTGAGCGGGCACACACTCAGCCTCCTTCATTCTTCCCCCTAAAGCCACTACTCACAGGACAAGGGCCAGGCCCCGGGCGGCCTCCGAATCTGCAGCCTCCCTTGTGCCAGCACACTGCAGCCCATAAGCACCACAGGTCACTTCCAGAACCTGGGTCCATCTGTGGCATATGGGCTGGGGTCAGAATTACGTCCCATTTCCTTCAACTCCTACCTACACTAGCCGTGACACTGTGCCCAGCACCAAATAGGGGAACGAGCCGTGGGGACAGCGAGCCACCGACCCTGTGAAAGAAGCGTCTCTCCCTCTGGATCCTTGGGTGAGGACCAAAAATCAAATATCCTCAAAGCAAGCAAGAACACAAGCTCTGCGCTAAGTTCCTATCTTTCTCCCTCCACTCTACCCATCTGAATAGCTATGCATATATTTTTAGCTGAGAAATCAAGGAAGCTGTGAAGATTCTAGGGGCGCCTCACCCCTGTGTCTGATGCCTATCATCCTGGTCAGTCGTGCTGTCATGCAAGGGCTGGCTCTGTCTCTCTGCATGATGTCTCTGTGACCACCACACACCCAGGGAGCTGTTAGACGCACGAGGGACCAGGACTTCTCACCCACGGCCGAGCACTCAGCAGGAGCCCGGGAGAGTCTAATAGAAAAGCAGCCAAGGAAAGTCCGGGGACAGAGCACAGGCTCAGGGCTCAGCCAGTGGCCAGGAGGGCATCTCTGTCCCTACCTTCTTGCATAGGCCAGATGCCTCCCACCTGTCCCTGCAATGCGCTTTCAAGAACAGGAACAGTGACATCAGAAGGCCTGCCCCTGGGACCTAGAGAGTGGGGAAAATATCTAAATATTCCTTATGAGCTGGTAAATGACTACGGCCCTGAGCACCCCTCCCTATGACTGGACCGCTCCCTGCAGGTCCCTAGACCTCTTCGGCATCTCACAACTAAGCAATCCCCATACACCACCAGCCTTACCATTGGGCCCCCAGGGACGCTGCGCTGGCCGGCCTCCATTCACCGTCACCTCTGAGAGTAGAAAGTCATTTGTTCCCATGTCATTTTTATCTGACTCCCACACCTGGCCCATGGCAAGTTGTAGAGAAATATTCCGAGTTCCTGGCGGAAGCTGCTGGACGGGCAGACAGCACAAAGCTAACCGGGAGGTGATGGGCGAGAAGGCAGAGGATCAGTGTGCTGGCGCACGACTGCTCTGTCCCAGCAAGTGGCCAGGGGCAGCCCGGGTGCTCTGATACGCTCTGGATACAAATCCAGGAGAGGCGTCCTGTCCTTCATAAAATTCTTTATACCCTGCTTAGATGGTGAGATGAACAGACAGTAACTATCTGTACCCTACAGATCCGTGAACACAGTGATGCTCTGC